AATAAGAATTACAAACTTAACATATTCAAACAATTCCCACTACCAAAGGTTGTCTCAATCCAATAACATCCATCCCTGGTGTGTGTGGGCAGGTATCAGAACAAGTCCAGAAACTACTGGAGTAAGTGCTGTCCTCCAGTATATAGGGATATTGTTGTGAGCTATGTTGTTGTTGCCACAGCGAGGACACTCCTCCCCCATTGATAAAACGACTACCTACCGGCCTGTCTTCAACAGCCAGGCGTCGGATCTGTCAGCCTTCAGCGCTGTAAGTTTCTATAGGCACTGGAATATAGGGTATTGTCCATACCTACAATCCTGGGCCTCATCACATCTTTGGTCCTTGTGGTGATACACACAGTTCACTACCATGATCTGGTATGGAAGCATTCACTACTGTTGTCTGAAGATGCTAGTACCGAAATGCACAATTTATTGATTTGAATGATTATTGACCCTTATATTTCTAATCTATAATCCAAAGTGTAGCTTAATATCCATTGAAAAATTAACCTCTTTATTTAGGTTATCCTCTTCTTAAAGTCCTAAACAAACCCTAAAAATCTTAAATAAATTGGTTTTACTCTCTCTCTATATACAGTAAAACCTCCATGAGAGGACATTCCGGCTAGAGGACACCTCTCTACAAAGGACAGTTTTCATTGTCAAAATTACCATTTTTACTATTTAACAACTTTCCGGTAAGAGGACACCTCTCCCTAAAGGAGACTTTTGCTCTGCCACTAGATGTCCTTTACAGAGAGGTTTTACTGTATATATAAATATATTAAAAATAAAGAAGGCATCTCCTGACCACGAGCACATGTGCTTTTTAGATGGCAGAGCGCCATCTAGTGGAGCAGAAATAAACTAAACGTTTATTTAGCTTACTCCGTGATATTTGGCCAACCCAATTTCTTGATAAATCAAGAAAAGCCATCCACGAACGCGTTTCGCGCTGTTGGCGCTCGTCAGCGTGGAGTAGGCTGTAACCACTGCGACCAAAAAGATTTTTTGATCCCATAGGCTTCCTGAAAAATCAAGAAATGGGTATTTAAGGCCAAATTTGCGTAAAGACGCTTAACACATGAAAAAATAATAGAAAAAAAATAAAAGATAAGTGGGTCAGGTGTTGATATTAAAAATAAATAAGGCATCTCCTGACCACGAGCAGTCTTTACGCAAATTTGGCCTTAAATACCCATTTCTTGATTTTTTGGGAAGCCATTGGGACCAAAAAATCTTTTTGGTCGCAGTGGTTACAGCCTTCTCCACGCTGACAAGCGCCAACAGCGCGAAACACGTTCGTGGATGGCTTTTCTTGATTTATCAAGAAATTGGGTTGGCCAAATATCACGGAGTAAGCTAAATAAACGTTTAGTTTATTTCTGCTCCACTAGATGGCGCTCTGCCATCTAAAAAGCACATGTGCTCGTGGTCAGGAGATGCCTTATTTATTTTTAATATCAACACCTGACCCACTTATCTTTTATTTTTTTCTATTGTTTTTTCATATAAATATATATTTTGTTATAGTACATGTAAATAATTACATATTTACACCAGTAAAGAAGCTGCTACACAAGGCTGGTGTGTCAAGGTTCAGCAGTGATGAAGACTCCCCGGTCCAGAAGAAACCTGGCAGAAGGTAGATCCCCATTTAGAAACTGGTTGGAAAATTATAGACCTTCGTTATTGGGATCGGTGGAAGGGTAATCTAAATCATTGGTTTTTGACCACTATGACCCAGGATTGAATCCCACATTGGGCACTTTTTTCTAATTTAAAAAATAAATAAATACTCCAATGGCCCCCGATTCTTGCAAAAGACCAACCCCACCAGCGAGTATAAGTAACCAAACGGGGCTCTGGTACATTTGTAAGTGCAAAAGTCTGACTGCTTTTCACATGTGTAGACATGTGGTGCACTTATAGTAAAAGCAATCACTAACTACCCACCATGATTATCATGGCTTGTACCACGTGTACTAGGGATAATAAAAAAAAGGGGGATTTCCACATCCCACCCACCTTGCTATAACTTTTTTTTTTTGTTGCCATGACCCATCATCCCTTTCTCTTGCTTCTGCCTCGCTTTCTGATGTGGAATCTTCTGATAGCGAAGCTTACTTAGGCTCAGAAAGTAGAGAAGTAAAAAGAATTGATCCCTGTGGAGCCTACTTGGACTGAAATCTCACCTGAAACTGCCAGAACAAAAACCCCTCTCCATTGATACTTCCATCTGAACATACATTTTCAGCACAGGAGACTTCCACCTCTTCAACTATTATTCTTTTTCTATTGTGTTTTCATATTTATTATATAGAAATACAACTATAGTTCCACATGGAAATAGCCCTCAGTCACCTTATAGCAAACTTGTCATGAAACTTGTATCAAGAGTGGACCCATCATCTCTGGTGTATGTCTGGATGGTGCTCTACACATTTCCTAACACCATGGATTGTAGAGTGTACTCAGCCTATCTCAACCCAATAGGAATGAAAAATACTATTTTGTACCGCTGCTCTCCAGTAAGAAGACACCTCCCTATAAAGGACTTCGGCTCTGCAATTAGGTGTTGTCCTTTAAAGATATGTGTGTACTGCACTTATACTGTTGTTATTTCTTATCCCCTTGTGTAAAGATTACACAAATTCCATGAGTCCATGTTTCTCGAGCTGTTTGATGATAAGCAGCGGCCTCTCCCAAAGGTCCTTTTTAGTGAATCTAATGCAAGCCAAAATGTGTTCTACAGCTGCAGGCGTCAAGCTACATTATGGACAAGTGGGGTAGATTTTGTTATTATTTTCTATCTTCAATGGCTTGAGATGGCTTGTTCTAAATCTTGTTAGTGTTGTTTGATGCTGTCTGAGGTTCAGAGCTCTTCCTGGGTCCACTCTATTGTACCAGCTGTGCTTAGGTGGGATCCTCCAGTTCTTGTTTATTATTTTGTTTTGTCTAGTGTTTCTATTTCTGCCTATCCTACTTATCTCTACTTGGCTACTTGACCCCTTCTTAGATCATTCCATTAGGTAATATTTCCTTATGTAGCATATACTATAGAGGGGGTCGGTGAAAGGATGGTCTAAACCATTCATTTTCGACTGCTATGACCTGGGTTCGATTCCCACATTGGGACTTTTTTTCTGATTTAAAAAAAAAATGCTCCAATTACCCCCGATTCTTGCAAACGTCTAACCCCACCAGCGAGTGCAAGTAACCAAACTGGGCTCTGGCACATTTGTAAGTGCAAAGTTGAACTGCTTTTCACTTATGTAGACATGTGGTGCACTTACAATAAAAGCAGTCGCCTACTTCTACCTACCATGATTATCATGGCCTGTACCATGTGTACTAGGAATAAGCAAAAAAAAAACCCTTCTTAGATCATTTCATTAGGTATTCTCTCCTATGTAGTATGTACTATAAATAAACAGAATGTAAACAGTCCACACAAGATAAGGTTGTATGTTTTACAGGAAGAAGAATCAAGATGCTTCACCTCTTTTACTGCCTCAACCTATACATTCTTCCAGGTAAATTTTCCATCTTATTTTAGACCAAGTTTTAAAACTATTTTTATATTTTTTGAATACAAAATGGATCTCTCTTTTTGATGCAAAAATATATTTTTAAAATGACCTACTTATCCTATCCAGGTAACATACACATTTTTAATTCTTGATAAGGCACAATTTGGATTATAGATTATACAGTTACGAGCGTCATTCTTCATCTCCTAATCAGTCATTTGTCAGTTTTCACCTCTGTCACCGTTTGCTTTTTTTTTTTTGGAATGGCGCCCTCCTATTGGTTGGCTATGGTCACGCCACCTTTGCCCCCCCCCCCCTCCCCACTCGCTATTTCGTCTTTGTGACATTGTGTTGGAGCGGGTTGCTCCCTAAATAAATGCATATATTAGATAATAACCAAATGGAATCCTCTCTTTCTTTTTCCCAGTAAGAGACGCCTACAGAAGCCAACAGTACATAGACAGATAAAGCACATAGGCTATAGTTATTAACTAACATATGCAATTATTTAAGGCGCCAATTTATAATTGTAACAAATATTATTTGAATCAAAACGTTCAATCTCAGGTAAAACACGGGCGTTGCCCGGGTCATTCGGCTAGTAGATTATAAACACAAGGTAATAAGACCAAATCCAAATAAATCATACACTATTTATTTATTTGGGTTTGGTCTTATTACCTTGTATTTTAAATTCTTTTTATACTTAATTTGTCATAATATTTAGAAATATTTATATAAAGAGAGCTTCTGTGGGATTGTAAGGAGAAGGAAGAAAAAATTTATTTAATTATAATAATTGATTTTTTACTATTTTCTTCTTCCTTTTTCTTATCTCCACACTGGGTGAAGTAGAATGCATCTGCCTTTGTCATTAAGACTGGGAGCACTACTCAGTGGCAGGCCGAATTAGCTCCAAAATAAATGGCCGCCTCTGACAAGAGGAACAGACGCCATGTGCAGCTGCTCCTAACATGGAGTACAAATGCTGCTCATCCTGTATCCCTGGATTAAGAGCCCTTACAGGGTACTATCAGCCGGGGCAGCTTAGCCCAGGTTTTTTAGTGAGCTTGTTACTGCTCCCCCTCCTCCTTTTTCATTCGGGCTTGGGACCGGCAAAGGCGGTATTAATTATTTAATATTGATTGCAAAAACTTTTGTAGTGACCCTGGTATATGTAAATATGATGTGTGTAGACAGTCTCCCCCACCTGTGAGAGGGTAAATAGAACCATTTAAATCTCCTGGACATTAATAATTCAACAGGTTTCTGAAGACGTGTTTCTTTTTATCTTATTAAAGCAGTCTCAAGCTTTCAGGCATCTCTGCCCTTCTAATATATATATATATATGTAAATACAATATAATGCGGCTATGATTATAGAACGAGGTTTAACAAGTTTTACCGCAAATGTTTCTTTTTAATTATTTTAAGGAGAAATAACGACTATTCCCTATCCTTAGGGATGAAGTATACCTAGTGGACATGGCATCTGCCTGGTAAGTGGAACATTGTGGGTTCGATTCCCATCCCTGGACACTTTATTTTTCCATTCATCATTAATCTTCACAATTCATCCTTTCATACTTCATCCCTAATGATAGGAATAGTCGTTATTTCTCCTTAAAAATAATTAAAAATTACGATTTTTCGTTCTGTAAAAAGAAACATTTGCAGTAAAACTAGTTAAACATCGTTCTATATATATATATATATATATTTGTAATAGTTTGGCATCAGGCGGCACTTTATTCTTTATACATGTTCTCCTGTTGAAGGGCAGAGATGCCAGAAAGCTTGAGACTGCTTTAATAAAAGAAACTCATCTCCAGAAACCTGTTCAATTATTTAATTAAATAGAACCATTTGACATCAAACTAGCAGGTGGAGAAATCCTGGATACAGTGGATTCCGTTCTGCACTAGATGCAGAACACATCTTGGCTTGTATTAGATTTATAATCCAGTAAAAATTCCATGAGAGGACACCTTTCTACAAAGGACAGTTTTCATCATCAAAATAACCATTTTTACTAGTTAGCAACTCTCAGATAAGAGGACACCTCTCCCTAAAGGACACTTTGGCTTTGTAACTAAGTGTTGTTCTTTATAGAGAGGGTAGTTCTACTGCACAGATAACAGCTTAATACATCTAGTGACACCGCTGGGAGGGTTCACCGATGATGAACCAATCCCTAACACCCTTCTAAATTTATGTTTCTAATTGTGCTGTAGAAAGAATAGGAATTTGTTTTTATTCAAAGAGAGAGATTAAAAAGTTTCCAAATTCTCTATTGATACGTACAGATGACATGTTGGCATCCCCTGTGTTTAATTCTTGAATGACAACTGATTAGAAATAAGAACTACTGAAAAATCACACATGTTATTTACTTACTTGGTTCCTTGTAGAAATTTTATCTAGAAATTACTAATATTCAAATATATGAAAATTTGAAACTATTATAAACCTGTATGATTCTTTTAAAAATTAAACAATTTCTACTGCCCTTACTGTAATGGAAAATTAATGGGAGGGCTAGGCTCATCAGTGGTCAACCCTCCTAGCGGTTTAGCCAGTTTAATCTACCATACTGCTGTTATTTTGCATTTTTTGAACTTCCTTTTATAGTGATACTGATGCTACACTCTTGGAATTAAATTAAAATATATATAGAGCTATATGTTTTGTCTAGGGGGTGTTAAAGTAGGAATTTGGAAATTGTCAAATTAAAGATACAGTATAACCTCTTTAATTCGACCCACTCTAATTCAGCAATCACTTTATTTCAACCTTTTTTTTTTTTTTCAATTCTCATTCAGGCTATTTATAAGGTTGTCCCAAAAGTTTGTATTTTTCTTATTACTTGGCAAATAATATTGTAGCATAGAAATTAAGTCTTGCAATATCTGAAGATGTGAAAGTATTTATTGATAGTATGACTAGTCGGCAATTATCAAGATATATAATCGATAATATTGAACAAGCAACCTAAGGACCATGTATGATGATTTCACAAATTCATAGTAATATTCTGTTTTAAATGTTATCATCGAATAATTAAAATAAATAATAAAATATAAATTACTAGACGAATGGCCCGGGCAACGCCCGGGTTTTACCCGAGTGCGCATATATTTTAAAAACGTTTTAATTCAAATACTATTCGTTACAATTATAAATTGGCGCCATGGATGTCACTCTTGTGAAACGTCCCGTTCCAAACTGTGTGTTTTTAAAATGTTTTAATTAAAATACTATTCGTTACAATTATAAATTGGCGCAGTGGATGTCTCTCTTGTGAAACGTCCCGCCCCAAACTGTGTGTGTCTTGAAAATATAAAAATAAAAATGTGAATTTTCATAAAGATTTCATTATGTCGATTTTTTTTTTTTTGCATTTCACCTACTAAATCGATAGAGATAATTATATTTGCAACATGAACTTAGGTATATTGACTAAATAGAAAACTGCATAGTAATAAAGATCATTTTTTAAAGGCACCATATCGTTTTTTTTTTCAATAAAATCGAAACAAAAATTAACGATAAATAACGATAATTGCCTTAAAAAGAAATTGCCTTAAAAATGTTAAAATGGCAATTCTCTCGGATTTCATCATATAATTATTTTGACCAGTGACCTGTTACTCTGTGGTGTGTTGCAGTGTATATATAAATGGAATATCGTTGTTAGTTAGTTAGTTGTGTTATCTTACCGTGACCGGTTCAATAAAATCCTCCGGTGTTCAGTGCCCTCTCCTATCTTCCTCCTTTTTCAACAGGTTATGGGCCCAGGATTACTTTAAAGAAATTGTAGCATCAAGAAAGTATTCAAAATGTCAAGCCTTTATCAAATAGAAAAATTGAATTCCGAAAATTACGAGACATGGAAGATGCAAATGAAAATGATTCTAATTCATTCCGAACTTTGGGATTATGCAAATAGCATAAGGATCAAACCTGAAACCGAAGTAGAATCTTCTGAATGGGAGAAGAATGACCAGAAGGCGCTAGCAACTATAGTCCTAAGTTTAAGTCCTCCAGAGATAATACACGTGAAGAGATGTAAAACTTCTGCAGAGGCATGGAAGCTTTTAAATGAAGTGCATCAGCCAAAAGGACCTGCAACGAAGGTGTTTCTTACGAAACAGTTAATATTATTGAAAATGAAACCAAATGAAAGGATGCAGGATTATCTCAACAAATTTAGCAGTTTGGCTGACAAGTTGAGTGAAATGGATGCACAAGTCCCAGAAGACTTCCTTTCCATCCTCCTGTTGTGTAGCCTTCCCGAGAGTTATGAGGGTTTTAGAACTGCCATTGAAACTAAGGATAAGTTGCCGAACTTTGAAACTTTTAAAGTAAAAATGCTGGAGGAGGCAATCAGACAAACTGAATTAAACGGTACAACCGATTCTGAAGAAAAGGTATTCCTTGGTAATACGGTAAGAAAGCCTTTCTCAAGTACATCGAAGCCAAAGGCGAAAGGATTCCCATTTAACTGCCACTTCTGTGGGAAAAAGGGACATAAAGCTGCTGATTGCAGAAAAAGAAAGTCCAGGAACCCTAAAAATGAAATGCTTGCATCATTAGGAATCGAATGTTTAAACAAACTTGATGCAAACGAGTGGTGCTTGGATAGTGGCGCAACTGCCCACATGTGTAGCTCAAAGAAGTCATTCACTCATTTTGAAGACACTGCACCAATAAAAATTACACTGGCAGATGGTCAATCCATTGAGGCTATAAGAAAGGGGAATGTAAAATTGGATTGTAAAACCAATACCTGAACTGTAACCTTATCCTTAGAAGATGTGTTGTTTGTTCCTAGATTAAATGGAAATCTATTTTCTATCAGTAAGTGCACAAGTAAATATAATATTGTAAATTTCAAGTACAGAAAGGCTGAAATAGTGAATTTGCATACAAAAATTTGCATACAGGCCTATGAAAGGAATGGACTTTACATCTTAAGTCAAATCAATTGTCCTAAGGCATTAGCGACAAGAGAAATTTGCATAGCTGGAGAGAAAAATTACGAAAAATGGCATAGTAGATTTGGCCATTTAAATTTGCAAGATCTCAAAAAGCTAAAAATGCAAAATATTGTTTACGGCCTGCCAAATTTTGATGTTAAAAATTTTAACTGTGAAGTTTGTTTGAAAGGTAAACAAACAAGGCTACCTTTTCAGAAAGAGTCTTTTACGAGATCAAGGGAACCACTGGAGCTGGTTCATACTGACATTTGTGGTCCCATGAGAACAAAATCATTGGGTGGCGCCCTTTATTTTTCAACATTTATTGATGACTTCTCAGGATTTATCTTCACATTCATAATGAAATCAAGAAGTGAAGTATTTAAAGGATTTAGAATATTCAAAAATTATGCTGAGAAACAAACCGGAAAAAGGTTGAAATGTATTAGGAATGATAATGCGCCTGAATACCTTAGCAAAGAATTCAAAGATTACCTAGAAGGAGAAGGTATAGGACGTCAGCTCTCTGTCGAATATACACCTCAACAGAACGGTGTAGCTGAAAGAGCGAATAGAACTCTACTGGATATGACTAGGTGCTTCATGATCGAAGGTGATTTACCTGAAACTTTATGGGCTGAATTGATACATACATCAACTTATATCAGAAATAGATGCCCGAAGCTTAACGAATGTAAAACTCCACATGAGCTATTTACCAAAAGAAAACCTGTAGTTTCTCATTTAAAAATTATAGGAAGTAAATCGTTTGCCGTGAATAATAGGCCGAATAGATCTAAATTCGCACCTCGCAGTGAGGAATACAAGTTAATAGGCTATTTCACAGAATCTAAGGCATACAGACTTTGGAAGCCTGGTACACGTACAATTATAAAAAGTAGAGATGTACGTTTTATTGAACCAGAATTGTCCAAAATTAGGAATGAAGTCGTTGAAATTGATGTTGGTTCAGAAAGGGCTTCTTTCAAGGAAATCCCTCTAGTAGAAGAAAGAGGAAGTACATCAGAAATTGATCCAAAAGCTGAAATTGAAAGCCAATCGGATCTAGAAGTATCTGAAGTGTTAAACGAGCCATCAGAAAGTGGAGTGATAATTTCTAGAAGAGGAAGAGGAAGACCAAGGTATATTAGAACGGGAAAACCTGGCCGACCAAGAAAGGAATATCCTACAGCCAATTTGTCAACGCAAGAACTTCTAGAGGCGAAATACTTGCCAGATCCAAAAGACGCAGAGGAAGCGCTGTCAGGAAGGGATTCTTATTTTTGGAAGAAAGCAATGGAGGAAGAGTTTGATTCCTTGATTGAGAACAAAACTTGGGAATTGGTTGATCCCCCTAAGAATCGAAACATCATAGGAACCAAATGGGTATTCAAAACGAAATGCAACAGTGATGGTTCTGTTGAGCGCCATAAGGCTCGCCTGGTAGCAAAAGGCTATTCACAGCAGTACGGAATAGACTACGAGGAAACTTTTGCCCCAGTAGTGCGCCAAAGTACTATTAGAATGTTTTTGGCCTTGGCTGTTGAATACAACTTGATACTCCATCA